AAACTTGGCGGAGAACCCGTATATCCATTGCCGGTTCTAAATTCGCGTCCTGGCAAAGCCCAAACCTACGAAAAAAACAAAAAAAAAGCCGGCACTTATCTATATAAGTATAATTCTTGTATTAAATTGTTTTCTTTTTCGATTGTACTTATTTCTTTTTGTAGGTCTGCACGGGTACATAAGTTCGAAAGCAGTTGAATAACGAAGGCTATATTGGTATTTGCATTTAGTAAGTTCCGACTCTCGTTTAAACCAACTGGGCCCGCTGCATACGATCTAACTTTTTTCTCTATTTTACTGTCGCTTTATCTTGATTAGTGTAGCTCTTGAACCAATTAACATCGAAAACGTAGAAGATATTTGGCTTTCAAATCCATCTTAAGTACCGAACCTGATACATCAAATCTAATAATTTCAGTCTAGAGCAAATGGGAATATCATGTTCTCTTATTGGCGAGTTTTATATGTTGTACTATGCAACAGAAAACGCGTGTTTAATACCCTTCGTGGCCAGTGTACAAAATTTGAATTATCTACAATGTTCTCACAAGAACATCTATATAGTAGATTTTTGAAATTTTATGTTCTCACATAAGTGTTCTCAAAGAACATTGAATTTTGCGGCATTGGAAAATTATGCTATCTTGTCTGTCGTTACCATCAGATCCTTCAGCATCCTGCCGAATAATTTGACTACGTCACCATTACCATTCCAGAACCAAACTTTACGTGCAATTTTGTACAAACAATTCACCGAGTTAACTATTGACAAGAGGTAGTTGAGGACATATATATATATACACAAACGGGTAGATACAAACATGCTGGTCTTGTATGCCTTTGGGACGTGCAATTTATAGAAAGCTACTCTTTTATTATTACTCGCTTTACATTTCATTTTTCCATTCGATTGTAATATTATAATTAGGATTAGAATGAGAACGCCTTTGTTTTTGCCCTAAGTTATATAGTAAAGCCAAATAAATGTAAAGAAATGTAGTACGCATTTACGATTATAAAGCATAATAAAGTGGCTCAATTTATATAATCAAATTGATTGAAATTTTGCAAAAGTGATCGACGTTTCGTTTCGGAACGCACGTGAATATTTTTAAAAAAATAACTTTTTTATCGTTTATAGCTCATGTGCTAAAGTTTATTGCGCGACTTGCATTTTGGCAAAAAGGTAACACACACAAATTTATCAGTCCTTTATGCGAACACATCTAAAGTGCAGTTATTACATACTTATAGTATTTCCTTTTAAGCCATGGAAAAATTGAAAAAGAAACATAGGCTGGCTTCTCCACGAAATACAAATAAAACCACCGTGTCTAATAACCCTCAAAAATTCCAACCTTCTCAAAGTAAACTAGTCTATTTTTTTTTTCTGTTATTGAGAATGCATTGCCAGTTGAATTGTCTTCATTTAATGCGTCTTCGCTTGAACTACTGTTGATTTTAATTTACCTCTCCCCTTACTTGAGCCTAAATTTTAAACGGTCTATTGTTCACATCTAAAAAAACGCGATATCTCATGTGGTTGACTTTTTACTTTCATAGCATTAAGAAAAAGAAATCCACAACGTCCAGCTACAATTCCAACAGACGTCTATGTTTCCCGCTCTTCAAATTTTAAAGGACAATTACTGCGGGCGGAAAAGCTCTTGATAAAAGATAGGTAACTATAATTCAATTTTAATTTCACGTGATTTTTTAGGTATCAAAATCAACTACTATAAACTCGGATTTTTATAATTTTAGCCATCCTTCAATAACAATTCACGGCTTAGGAGCCGCGATTCAAAAATCAATTAATTTAGTATTAGCTTTAAAAGATTTAACTCATAACCAAATTGCTTACAAAGTTACTACTGGTACTGTTGAACTGATTGATGATATTATTCCCGACGATGATGTTAAGTTCAACATTTCTTGATTAGAGGATCAAATTTGTTTACTCATAGTATCTTAACAATTATTATTATTATTATTATTATTATTATTTTTTGTGGATTTTCTTTGTATCTAGGATAAGGATCTGGAAGTTCAAACTAGAAACAACTCAAGTATACGTATCCAGGTATGGTTAAAGGAAGGTATTGAGAAATTTGTAGCAAACAAAAATTATAGCTCTCATGACATATGTTAAGTTGTTAACGATTCTTATGTTTATTATATGCAAAAGTCAACCTAACAAATCACATTAATTAATCAGTACTTTTCAAAGGAATCATTATTAATCATACAAATTGATATAATACATAAGATATAAAAATATAATTAAACGAATAAAGCAGAATACCAAAAAAAAAAAAACCGATAGACAAAAATTTCCCTTCTATGTACTGTGTGAATAACTGAAACCCGCTGGATATATAAACTAAATCCATTCTACAAGCTGTTGTTGGTAATTCAAACATGCAGAAGACTAAACTCTTAAGTATTAAAAGTATTCTTTTTAAGTAACTAGTGTCAGCAAATTAAATTTGAATGGCTAAGCTCAAAAAGGTATTCATTTCATTCATTTACTATTAATTATTATTAAAATAAATATATATTGTTTTTTAATATTACAATTTTCAGATGCGTATTAAAAATGGATCATCATTGTAAGAATAAATGTTTACGTTATTTTATATATCTTAATTGTTTCAACTCAATCACTTAAGTACTGACTTTTTATAGGTCCATGGACAAATAATTGTGTTGGATATTTCAACTATGGCCACTTTATCCGCTTTGTTTTCTGGGTAGATGTGACATGCATTTATCATTTCGTATTACTTGTCAAACGAACAATGCGAATGATTGAAGATGTATCATATGTCAGGGTACCTATCAAAATAGAATATTATTATGCATGAATCTATACTAATTGAATCTTTCGAATTTAATTTTTATATTTATTTTAGTTCGATAATGAACCATCGACAGTAGAAATCGTTTTTTTAATTCTAAATTACGCTGCTGTATTACCTGTAATATTTTCTGTTGGAATGTTAAGCTTATATCATTTTTATTGTATGTGGACAAATACCACGACAATAGAAAATTGGGAAAAGGATAAAGTTGCTACGATGGTTCGAAGAGGTAAAATTAAAGAGGTTAGTCATCATAATTAAGATTCAATAAGTTTGGAAATTTAAGCAATTTAATTCTTATTAAAGTTTTAAAATTTTCGGTCAGGTAATCTTTCCGTATGATATTGGCTTTATAGAAAATATTCAAGCAAATCTTGGTGGTAATCCGTTATTCTGGTGCTGGCCACAAGAAATTAAGGGTACTGGGTTATCTTTCCCAATTTCAAAAGACGCAGGTACGACAGACGAATCGGATTTGGATATGGACTTCATAGTTTAATAATAATAATAATAATAATAATGATAAAATTATAATGAAGGGTCAGTTTTATTAATTTTTTCGAAACTTTGGTTTTGAGAATATGTCTAAAACTTCTTGACTTATTTAGTGAGTTAATTTTTTTGCGTAGAATTTTAGAAAACAGTCAGCTCTGAACATACAGTATACGAACTTTTTTTCTCAAATTTATTATAAATTCTGTATATAAAAAGTAGTAAATTAAGAATTTTTAAAATTTTTTGCTATAAGAATCGTCAGTTCATTACGGAGTTGACTGTATTTGAAATTTTAAGATTTTCTATTTAATTCTATAAAAAATAGTTGAAATTTTTGTGATTAAGATACTTATTATGGATTTGGGTTGAATTTTATCAAAGTTTACACAAATTTATGCAAATTATTTTAATTTACTTTAATTACAACAATCTTTTCTTTTCTTTTAGATCCAACAATTATATGGCCACCAAAAGACCCAAATGCAGTTACTGCTGCTTCCTTGGCACCAAAACCATGGGATATTTATAATAATCACAATTCTATTTATCGTAATCAAAAGTCATCTCGACAATTTATTCGAAGAGATAGTGAAGGTTATTTAGTTAGGGATATTTCGTTAGAAGAACGTGCTATATTAGCCGGTAACAATGAGAGCGAAGGTGAAAGTGAACGTATAGATGACCCATACCATAATTCTGACGGTAGTACGTTATATTCTGATAGCGATGATTGTTCCAATAATGGTGAAAAAATATTAGAAGAATTTGCATATGACGATTTTGATGATGATAATTATCCTGGGAATATAGAAGTTGATGATAATAATAATAATTTTGATCGATCAATGAGACGTTTTACAGAAAGAGATCATCACAAATTTTCAGCTGCTTATGAACAACAATCACCGAGTAATAAATATAGTATGAAAAGGGATGAAGATGAAGATGATAATGGTATTAAAACAACTAGACAATGTACGTTGAGTCCTCCCAAAAAATCCCAAAAAATAAATATTTGACTACTATATGCCAAAAAACCAATAAGTGTTGAGACGCTGATTATGAAAATACGGCCAGTGTTTATCATTTTGGAATTTGATCTAAGCAGAATTCATACAGCGAATGTTTTTATATACATGCTCAATAACAAAAATTTTAAGTTTTTGACTTATATGCTAGGCTTGTTTACAGGCCACATGTCACCATTCTTTTTATAGGAAAATACTACCGAACATTATTTTGAAAGATCACTCCCGAATCCGTTACACATCGAAAAATTTAATGGTATCCCACTAGGGTACCTGGCATAGAGGCACGGGCATGCCACAAAGACAAAATAGTTTATTAGTAAAAAAACATAGTACAAAGTGGCTCAGGCATGCCAATTTTTTTGGGCATGCCAGATACCAAATATTGTTTACAATTCATGATACAGTACAATGTTTATCTTATCGTTATAGATAATCGTTGAACAATAGAATAGTTTAGTGAACATGAAAAGCATTCTACCGGTAATAGTCAAAGGAGATCTTTATTAACGTGAATAAATATTTTAGATGGAAACTTGGCGGAGAACCCGTATATCCATTGCCGGTTCTAAATTCGCGTCCTGGCAAAGCCCAAACCTACGAAAAAAA